AGATGAGAGAGAGAGAGAGAGAGAGAGAGAGAGAGACTATGTATTCCCTATATTTCCTGCTTTTACTGCTATTCTGATTCCGTCAAGGTGGGATCTGTTTGGTATTGTGTTTCTTGAGTTCATTTTAAGTTATTTTGCTGTTTTTAATGCAGTGGACAACTCTTGTTTATTATTTTTGTTGTTTGTCCCCAAAATCGGTGCATCATAATGGGGAAGTAACTAAACTGTGTTGGTTTTTCACTTTGATGATGATTTGTTAGCGGAAACTAGAGGGAGAATCTCAAATGCCGAAATCACATTGATACTTTAATGTGTTGCTTCTAAGCTAAATAACTGTGATTCTGCATTTGCAAAAGAGAAATAATGGTCATTGGGATATGGATTTGGGGCTACGGGTGTTAGTCTCTTTGTGATACTTATCTTCAAGGTACCAATTCAACTAATACTTTTTCTTGTTTGGTGAGTAAGATGGGTTTGATCCCACAACCACAAGGCTGCAGCAAAAGCGAGAGCTATGGAGTTGAACCCACCGGCTCAAGTAGTCTAATGAGCCCCTTTGGGCTCTTTAATTAATGACTGGTCTCTATCTACTCCTTTCTCTTGTCCAACATTAGAAGCTAGCTCCTTTCCAAAAGAAAAGAAAATTAATCCTACCAACTGTTCAGTCCTAAATGAGAGAATGCACCCAATAAGATACTTATCAGGAAAACAAGAGGGAAGGATTATATTACTAATGAGATAATCCTTGCATGTTGCAACTATATATCAGCAAGTTTAAATGAAATTCCTAAACTATATCCAACACCTTCCCTAATAGGTCCTCTGCAAATAATCTGCTAACCCTCTTTTTTCCCATAGTTGGACCAAATGCCATAGCACTTCCTTGAACATCCCGGATTTTATGCTCAAGTGCCGTTTCTATTATTATCACTATTTTTAACTAGAATATGCAATTGACCCGATATATATGGTTTGACCTTCAGGGGCTAGTCATTTCAAATTGAGAAGTTGATTTTAGGAACATGTGATTCCACCTATCACTTTCGGCCCAATGGATGGAAGATTGGGTGAATGCACGATGGATATGGAAAGTTTAAATTAAGCACAAATTTCTATCGTCGTCCAACATTCTATAAATAAATTGTTCTAAGTTCTGGCATTTGTGGGCATGTAGTTTCTTTTTTTAATGAATTGTCTTGGTTCATTCAATGCTGCGATCAATGTTCAAGAAGGCGGATGCGGCCGCCTAGGCGGGCACCCAGATACTTGGGCGGCCCTAAGGGAAGGGGGTTGGTTAGGGGCCATATGTTGTTTTGTATGTGTGTTTTGTGAATGTGTGTGTGTGTATGTGTTTAGTGTGTGTATGTGCATGCACACATATGTGTGTGCATGAGGTCTCGCATGATATTCTTAAAGACCATCCTCTTTTTATATATTTTTTTTTTTTGGATCTGTATTTGTGAGGGAGACGTCTCAAACAGTTGGAGGATATATCGAGAGAGAGAGAGAGAGAGAGAGAGAGAGGACGG